TCTTGCCGGTTTCGACTTAACAAAAGACTGTGTATAGCAGTCTGAAGTTTAGTAGAAAACTTTTTTGTTTTTTGTTTTTTTTTTTTCAACAAATTAACTTGTAAAAATATCTTTTTGATAAAAAACCTCAAAAAGTGCTGTCCTTGAAGGAGCAGAAAAAAATTATCTATTTATTCAACTAACAGACAAATACTTCTGTTTTCATTTACTTTTTCATTCATTTATTTATTTTTCTAAATTCGTTAAATTGAGTTTTTGACCCCTCCTCAAAATTACAAAAACTTCCAAAGTCCCGTGGTGGATCCCATCCGCAATAATAAAAATAAAACTGTCCACTGATTAGAACAGCAGTTTAGCGCTTTTTGAATATTACAGCCCGAAACGAAGTAGAAGATAAAGTTTTGCTGAACATTTGACTTTCATATTTTATTCCACGAGTGCCACCACTTTCAAGCCAAAAACTTATTGCTACAGCAGAACAAAGCAGTTCCTAGAGGACGTTTTTATACTGAGTCGTTCCCGGCCAAGTTGGACAGTTCATTAAGTAGACGCTTCAAACTTTTTCCATTCTTCGCTGGCTTGCAAGATTGATGCTAGAGTTTAAAAGCAAAAGATGTCAACCTCAAAAAATAGGCCGACGACAGAGTTAAGAAAAACGACAGAAAAAAACGCAGTTTTTGCTAAACGTAGTCTTCTTCAAAGATTTGCAATTTTATTCGTTCACAGTAGATTATTATAACTTTTACCCCTCTTCAAAAGGTCGTCTCCTGCAAACTCAGCAAAGCAGTAAAATCTTGTATAATAACAAAATACATAAAAAATTATATTAGAACAAAAGTCAAAAATTTGTTTCTAAAAAGAGATATTTTTTAAATTTTTTAAAAAAGATATATTAAGGTATAAATTTTTTTTGTAAAATATCGGAATTACAGAGTAACATTATTATGGTATCAAGAATTTTGATGCGATTGTTGAGACCAGGCCGCAAAAAATCATTAGTTCGTGCATTATTTTGTCTCGTGTGCTAGTGAAAACGTCTTAATTTCAATCTAGATATTGTTACAATAAAACATGCTTTAGTTCATAAAAAGCTTTAAATAATAAGTATTTGATCAAAAAGTTTTTGCTGCTCAGTGATTATAAAAAAATTTTTCTAAAATAATTATTAATATGGTTATTTCACCAACACATCGCTTTACTTCGTCAGTGAACTGTTTTTGCCCAAATACTTGAAACTCACTGTTGGTCATTGAGAGTGAATATAAGCTTATTATTATCTTTTCAGCAGTGCATTATTTTAAGGTTTTGCTGAAGACATACTGATAAGTTGTTCAAAAAACCATTCATTGATATCGTTAGACAAAAGTGCAAATCAATTCATTTGCCTGCAGTATATTTTATCTGGCAGAGAATTCTTCAATTCCCACTACTTCTGCGGAGTCATTGTTATATCAAAATCCTTAACCCATAACACTGTGGCAGAAAACATATTCCACTTCTTAAGCTTTCTGAAGGACAAGTACATTTTGTATAAAGTCGTTTACTTTTTTGATCGAACTATACGCATTAAAAAAAACGCAAAAACTTTCAGAATCTCATCTTTGAATACAAAACCCCTCAGAGTTGCAGCAGAATGTCACTTCTTTGCAGAATCTTTTTGAACAGGCTCTCGTAATGCCCTAAAGAAGAATCGGCAACAGGCGACATGGAAAAGACATTTTCCGGCCAAACTCTCATTCTCATTCCCCGACAAGAATATTACTGTTCTTACAATTTCAGAAGAATATAAAAAAGAAAAACTTTTCTAGTACAGCGTTTTACTGTAAGCTTGTCTGTCGCAGAAATACGGAAATTCTGTTACATTATTATGAACACTGCTGGAAAGATAATAAAAGGGCAATATTCACTATCAATCACCAATATTTAATTGCAAATATTTGAGACGAAACAGTTCAGTGATAAAGCAAAGCGATATATTTCGGTAAAATAACAATGTTTTTTTCAAGAATTTTATTAAAATCATTCAGTAGCAGAAATTTCCTTATCAAATACATGTTATTGAACTGCTCAAACTAAAGCATCTTTCAGCAAAGTTACTTCAGTTCAAAACGAGACACTTCACCAGCATAGAAGCCGAAGTAGCGCGCAAACTGAAGAATTTTTGTAGCCTAGTCTCAACAGTGACATCGAAATTCTTGATGCCATAAAAATGTTACCTTGCATTTTTGACAGTTTATGGAACGATTATACTCTATATAAAATAACTTTTTTAAAAAATTAAAATGTCGTTTTTCTTCGTTTAGAAACTAAGTTTTGGCTCCTGGTTTCATTATAATTTTTTATACTGCTAGTTGGCATGCAAAATTTCATCGCTTTTCTGAGTTTACAGAAGAGTATCTTTTAAAGGAAGTAGAAATTACAGTAACTGATTGTGATCGAATAAAACTGCAAATTCTTAAAGACGACCATGTTCTGCAAAAACGGCGCTTTTTTCCACACTTTAGAATGGTATAACCTATAATTGCACTTTTCGAGGTGGAGTTTTCTGATTTCCAACTCTGTCGTCAAGTATTACAAGTCGGCAAAAAATGAGAAAAAATCTAAAAGGTTCATTAAAAGTAAGCGGCCTAACGTGGAATAGCTTACTATGATTCGTAATTGGGGAAAAACGGCTTTAACCAAACAATAAAAACCATCAAGCCTTTGTCTCCGCAAACTGTTATCTGAAAGCTCACGCGATAAGATAATTTGGAATTTGTGTGTCATTTGAGACCGTCCCTTTCTTTCTCAAAAGATCTGAAAACTAGTACATTCGCATCAAACTATCTCAACTTCGTCCGGCAACACTGCATAGAACTGTCTTCAATACTCAATCACACTCATCCTCCACACAACCCCAGTAGCAAGCAACGTTAAATTATTTGCCCTCTCCAGTGCAGAAGATTTGGAATAATGTATTTCGCTCCATTCAACTGTCTCCCCCCTCCTCTCCGGCTACTTCCAGCTTATTTGAAAAAGCCAAAAGCCCTTCACTTCTTCCTTCCGTTACGGTCATGTTCTTTTAAAGAACAAAATGACAATTTTTTTAAAGGTTTCCTGTGACTAAAGTACTTCAAAACTAGAAGCTGACCAAAATACTTGCTTTAATTTTATAAATAAATCACAATAATGACTTTTCGCAGCAGTAGACACCTTCGTACCGACTGCATTAACTTTTCAAAAATCACATCTTAAATTAGAGGATCCAAGCATTTTGGAAAGACAGTCATATCAGATTGAGCAACGTGATAAGCAAACTAGACAACTACTACATTCAGTGCTACATTTCTGAAAGATCTAATGACGATTAAATCTGAATACCGAGACCAAAAAGCACAAATTTAGATGCAAAAATCAATGTGACAATTTCTTCATCGCCTTCAACAAAAACAGGGTTAACTTATTTGCATGCAAATCTAACAGGATTGAAATAAATAAACGAAAAAAAATATTCAAGACATACTGGCAGTCAAAAAAAGTATTACTAACCAAACATTGATAAAGAACTACAAAAACTTTAGTATTGAATCAATAAATCAAAAATTTCGTAACGCCATTTTCTACAAAACATTTATCTATCACAGAAAAAAAATCTTATCAAAGTATTCAAAGAAGATTTTTTTAACGCAGAAGTATTTCTTCTACTCCGTTGAATGTTTATTCCCCTCCCTATCAAAATCCCCGCTCTTTTTCACCTCAGGTGATGGAGTCGCTGTCAATTCTCTATTCTCCTCTCTTAACCTGATGAGCACACGCATATCTTTAATTGAACTGTTCGATTCCAACAGATGATTAATCCAAGCAGCAGCCCACCGGCGATCTGTCTTGCCGAAAACTGCTAATCCAAGGACCGTTTCATCTTGTTGCTGGTGTATATTCTTCTCCCTAACAGTTAAGACGCCATGCTCCCAAGGACTCCGCCAATTTTCAAAATCGTCATCGTCCTAAATAAATCTTGAAAAAGTAAAAGTGAAAAAAAAACAAATTTACTTTCCACGTCGAACATTTATTCTCATTTTATTTAATCACATTAAACGCAGATCTTTCTCGAGCGTTCACAGAACAGTCAATTTAAGACCGATAACAACTAACATTAGGCATAACAGTAACTTTGAACTGTGTTTTTTTCTTTTTGTTTTTGTTTTTCTATCCAAAAACCTACGGTCAAGGAGCCTTAAACTCTTTAATGACTATTTTAGCTGCGCTCTACAGCTGTTGTTAAAATTTGAAAATAAAATTGAAAATTTATTGACGTGTAAGTCATCTTGAGTATACAAAAGAAAAAGGAAACTTTTTAAGAACCAAAAACAACTATCTGTTGGGAAGAACCTTACCAAATCAAATTGTGAAATAAATGTGTGCTCAAGAAAAGAACCTGCAAAAAAAAGTCACTAAATGCACTAAACATGAATCTGAATGAAAACCTCTTCTTCAGGCCTGAAGTTGTCAAATATCTGGTTGGGATCTGGGTCAGTCGTCAAGCAGACGTAATTCAGCTTATAGTCCATCAAATATACAAAAAACGGACCATCTATGTAAAGCGTACTTTTGGGTTTCATCCCTTCAATCAAATACTTCTGTACAGGACTTTGTCCGCTAACAAGCCAACCTTTATCATCATCCGGTTCAACATCTTTTATCTCAAAAGAAATGATTCAGTTGCTTTAAACTCAGTATCTGCAAGTCTTTTACACTACAAATGAATAAACCAAAAACACAAATGAAGAACTTACTTTGACATGAGAGAGTTGTGTACCTGGATCTCTACAAATTGTTTTTAAAACAAGAAATGCCAAGTCCACCAACGAGTGTTTCTTGCCCTCAATTTCTCGCCTATCAATATATTTATTGGAATATTTTAATTTAGGCATCCAGTAAAGCATCCGTTTTATCTTTTTTGTCGCAAAATTCCAATCTCCAAAAGCATTCACTACAATATCGTGTACTTCACGGTCTGGCTGGACACCTAATAACAAGTACTATTTGACTTTAATAATAGAAAAAATTTTGAGGTCAAAAAATCAAATATTTCTTCTATATGAATTAGAACTAGTCGCACTGTATATCTACAACAGTTCTCCACAAATTTAGAAAGCCTTCAGAAGATAAAAAATTAAATATTTACAATTCAACATTAGTTTGTTTACCATTCCATTCCATCTCATCTAGGACTCTAACACAACAGTGTTGCTGTAGCGGGTAGTGCAAGAAAATGCGCTAAAAATAAAAGGTAAATTTCTGCACAGTTTATCGCAAGTTTTTAGAAAAGTTTTCCAATAAAATTTAGGGAGTAAAAAAACAAAATCCTGGAACCACTTCTCAGCGTATAAAAATACAAGGCTTACTTGAAAGTTATTGCGGGGTATGAGTGCACCCTTTGGGAAAACATTTAACAATGCTTTATATGTTTCAAGGTCCTTATGTAGCCCAAATTCTTTTAACCGTCTTAATGCGGAATTTATAAACTCAACATGGCCCCTATGATGAGTTTTCTGACGTTGAAATATGTCTGAAACGCCATACTTTGAAATAGGGCTTGATTTTAAGACACCTTGCATACTCTACCTCATAAACTCCATTTTACTGCAGACAATGATGCTACAGTTAGCATTCTGTACTTTCATGAACTGACAAAAACACTAA